AGACAATCAGAGATGGCATGTAGTATGTAGTAGGTAGTGATGCATGTATGTGTGCCTGAAATGAGATAATCCAATTCTTAATGTCTAACTGCAGGACATTTTACCTTGAGAGATCCAATCTGCCCACTGATTCCAATACTACGGCAGTGAAAATTGACCAGGTATTATTCAGTTTTACTATTTATATGATAGGGTGGCCCAACCATTGACTGTGAATTTGTTATATAGGTACAGTACAACACCCCCCGCCAAAAAAAAAATATATATATACCCAAAAAAATCAGTTCCGGCCCCAAGCAGCTTGAGCTTATTTCTAAAAAACAGAACCTGAAACTGAACCCCAGAGAGATGAGGCCTAAGATGAATTTAGAAAAGGAAAAAACAATTAATTTGTATGTGAGAATGTTTCATCATCTACAGTAAAATAACAAATAAAGATAAATTCAGTGGTAAGTGTTGTCTGACAGGGACACGTGGTTTTCTTTTATTTTTTTGCACATAGAGAAGCAAAGGGACAGAAAGGCATTATTTTAGTAAAAAGAAGTCTGAGCCAGTTACTGCAGAAACAGAATATATCATGTTTTGTGATCACTTGCAGTGAACTGCCCCAACACTTAGTTTCTGCTTGTGCATTTTTGAAAATCGTATCAACGTAAATAATTGTTACTCTATGGTACTGGCTCTGCTATAGATCTCAGACATTATCTTTAGATAGGGGAGAAAATACCCTTCCAAATATCTGTTTAAACAAAGAAGTGAATATGCCACTGATGCATTTGTTTATTGTTCTTGTGCAGCTTATTCGCCCCATTAATGCAATGGATGAGCTTTGCAGACTGATGAAGTCTTTTATAAGCACAAAACCCACCCAACCAGGATATTCCAGCAGTAATGTATCAGGAGCTGGTCTGCTGCCTATATCCTCAGAGCTCTGCTATCGGCTTGGAGCATGTCAGATTACCATGTGTGGCACAGGGATGCAGAGGTGAGATTTTGGGATTGCTGTGGTAAGAGCTTGCTTTTCCTGTATATGGCAACAAGGTGCCTATTTAAGCCAGTTTCAAGGAATTAGGACCTGCAACTACTCAGAACAGGAATGAAAAAATGTTGGCATTTCCTATTTCAGGTTAGGTTGGGACTTTGAGGAGCTCTGTACTGTGACGGATCTTGAATTTATATGGTTTTCAGTCATAAAATAGAGGCTAATCCATGTCAAATAAAGGGTTTTAAAATATTTTGGAGTATTAATGTGGATACTAACAGTACCATTCTTTGAATGGCCCAGTGGCTCAGTTGAGGAACAGTTTAGCTCATAGTTGACACGAGCCATTGCAGAACCACAAATGAGACATAAATATGGGATAGCTCCATCAGAGATCAGCAGGAAATGCAGTTTGACCTAGATATTGCAAGGCTAGAGGTGGGTCACTGAACTGGCGTATACAGTTGTTTTCAAATAAAAACCTAGGAAGTAAACATTAAAACTGTGCAGTTGCTAAGTTCACTTGTACTTACTAATTAAGCACCTTTGTTAAAAATCAGAAACAAAAGAGATAAGATTGTTACAAGAGAAATAATTTTAACCAGGTGCCTATGATTTGTGGATTTAACATCCCTTGTCTCCCATGTCCAGGAGTACATTGAACGTGTCCCTGGAACAAGCAGTCATACTGGCTAGAAGCCATGGACTTTTACCCAAGTGCATCATGCAGGCTACAGACATCATGAGAAAGCAAGTGAGTACTTAAGACTCCTGGTATTATCATTTTCTTAGCTGGATTCCTGGCAGGCCACACATTTTCATTCTCCTGGCCTCTTTGTTAAAATACCAATCCATTGTTTTGAGGAGCTGAGTTTTCTTCATATCTTGACCCACATCTAGACACTAAAATTCAAGCAACTGCATGCAAACTTACCAGAAGAAAAATGCTAGGCTTTGAATCTTGTAGCCATTAGGTTATTTAAAGTGCATCCATGAATGTACATTATTTGAAGTGTTTGCATGGATGTTAGAAAACATATGGAATATGCAGACACGCTTCTGCAAATTACATGCACAAACATGAGACTGTCCCTTGAAAATGCAGGGTGTATAATGTATTTATTAACATCCAGTATATACAGTAAAGATGTTATCGTACAACATTACTTTGTCGAACTCTTATGGGATTGCTTGTTAAGTGCTTTGGGACAGCTTTCATCTTGCATAAACACAGATGACTAATGCACACACCCAGTAGATTCCAGAGCTTCTAAAAGTAGTTAATGGGTTCTCAAATAGAAATATTCCTGTTACAGTATTTTTCCCTTAGGGTTCAAATGTTTTATTGACATTGTCAACAACATAAATTCTGTGTTTCCTTAGGGACCAAGGGTTGAAATCTCTGCTAAAAACCTCAAAGTGATGGATCAGATGCCGCCATCAGCACCCAGGTAGCTTATTATGTATGGTACATATTATCCAAGTGGTATAACATATTATCTAAATTGCTGTTGCTTCATTGCACTAGTGCTGAAATTCCTTATAAAAAGGAGAATTAAAAAAATAAATAAATCAGCAGCAATATGGAAAACTGTCCCAAACATCACTAGTCTAAACCAAGCGCATTTATATTTTAAAAGCTTTGCTCCAAACTCATTTGCCAGTCACCCTTGACTTTTAGGATTCTTGCAAGGTCTAAATAAAACACTTCTACTGGTTTGTGTCACCTTCAATGAGTTGATAAACCTCAGTGACTGACAGTATTCTCTGCAGAGACTCTCGAATGACAAATCTGACTACAAATATGCAGCAATAATGCATGCACTCAGACTTTCTCTTCCTGAGAAATATAATTTAAAATAATATAAAATAGTCTAATATTAAGAGTGGTATTTGACTATTTTCTACCTCTCCACATTCCTAAGAGGGAAAGTTAATTCTGGTCCATTATAGCATCATTAAACATTCATACTATTTGAAAGCCAAATCACACTGGTCTATGCTAGATGTCCATGAACCAGCTGTAAAGGCTACCACATGTGTAAGGCAAGCCAGTTTAGTCACCTAGAAAAGAAGTAAGCAGTTCAGTCTACACTGTTCTCCTGGGTTAGGGGTCAGTCTACAATATCCCCCTGGGTAAGTGTAGGTTTATTCTCTAGTGCAAGACTCAAACTCACTGAGTGCCACTTGTAAGTTATAGTTTCCAACGGAAGGCACCTCTGCACACTTGCAGTTTGGCTGACTCCAAGTTGCCGGGCCATTGATATTGTACTGGTGGGATGTATGTGGTACATCCCTGCTCTAATGTTTTATGTAGTTCCTTTTTGAAACGGATGGGAATTCAGCGTACTTCAGTGTCAAGAAGTTTTTGCTGGTAGCCAATTTTTTTCTCTTCATCCCACTATTCTAGTTATATGCTGGTGGAGCACCTGCACAACACCCCTCCATCTCTGGCATTTGCACCCTTTCAGATGTGTATTGGAGATTATTCCAAGCATGCAGCACAGAATTAGAGGCTGGAGATTCAGATGAAATGCCTGTAGCCAAGCTTGGCTTTGTTTTGCTTTCTCAGAGACCTTTCAAAGAGAACAATAGTTGGGACCTACTATTACCTACTATTTTCTCCCGCTCTCCAGCTCTTGAATTGTGATTGCCATCTCAATAAAGGATGAATATGCACTCTATGCTAGGTTCTGCCATTTCCCAAATGTCAAGAAGTGAGATTTGTAGGAGTGGTGATATTTTCCCTTGTCATGAACATTCATTACCTAAGATCTAATTTTATGGTCCTAAGGCTGTAACACACCTTAAGTATTTTAAGATAAAAAAATAGTAGAGTCTGTAGTTGTGATTTACAGTGTGTAGTGGAGCAGAGAAAGTAATACATTTTATGGGTTAAAGGACTGATTTAAAACAATATTTGAAAGCCTGGATATGCTGATATCTGCTTATTTCATCACTGTTGTACGTAAGACTAAAAGGAATGAAAATAAGCAGAAGTAGATAAGATTACTGTCAGTTAAACTAAATTTAGGTTAATTATTAGGAAATATATTTCCTAGATAGGAGACTTGCAAGACAGTGTAATGATCTTTGAAAGCAAGTCATAGAAGTCCCATCCGCTGAGTTAATTAAATCCAAGCTGGACAAAGCTCTAGAGAATATACTATAGGGAACACTTGCACACAAGGGAAATATAGAAGGGATGATCTAAGTGGGGTTTCTCCTCATCTCCAGTTTGTTATTCTTAAGTGTCTTTGCAAACAAGGTTAGCAATTAAGGTTAATGCAACCACATCAATAAGCAATGAATGAGATTTCTGTATTAGTTAAATATGTCCAGGAAAAAAACTGGTAAAAAAAGGATTTCCTTCCACTGAAAAGCCAAAACCTGACCAGAATTTCACAGAAGAATTAGGAAGAATCAATATCATTTAAAAATATATATTTTCTTAAAATAATAGCTGTAAAATGATTTAATTAATTATTTGCTACTGGCACTTTTCGTTTGCAAACCTGCTAGTCAGAACTTGCTGTATCTTTGCCATCAGATTATCAGTGAGTGTTACTGAAGCACGACAAAGGAGGAGTTGAGTGTTGCATGCCAATGCCAATAACTTTTTATTAGTCTGACATTTATAATACTGACTATTAATCTGTCTTGATAGGCTCTACAGGCTGTGCCAGCCACCTGTAGATGGGGATTTATAAGAATGAAAAGACACCCACATCCTGGAGTCATTGAAGTATTCAGCAGAGCGCAACCCTGCCTGCAAATCCATGACAGCTGACACTGGTGGCACTGACTCAAGAGACAGGGAGATGGTGCTGGGTGTCTTGCCCTTTTGGTAAAGAGAGATGAACGCCTGGACCTGTACATGAAGAAACTGCATTTCTACTCCTGCAGGATCCAGGCAGGGATTCTGATGGTTCCTGGGCTTGTTGGAGAAGTTCTCAAAATAAAACCTCCTAGAGCTGAGTCGGAAGAACTCCCTTCTGCCAGATGCCTAGCAAGTTGGCAGTTACATGTCAAGGAACTGCAACTTTACTAATGACTTGGTTGTGCTGCTGGCTGAACGTTGTGAACTTCAAGTTACAGATCAGTGGAAAAAACAATCCAAGACAGAGAGCATCTGTCCACTCAATAATGCATCTGGCATCCATTTAATTGCCAGCATAATTTTGGTCAGTGGCCTTGAGTAACAGCATCACAGATACCACTTTTTAATATCCTGACCTGCACGTTTGAACAATGAATAGCACAAGTCTGGTTTATTCAAATGTGAACATAAAATATTTCTTCTGGAGTCATTTTCCATTTCGTCCCAGTAAGAACCACTCTCTCTATGCTGCCGAGTATACATTCCATAATACTTCTTTAACATGTACTTCCTTTAACTTACTGCAGCTTTCAGGTTTGGGCTTAACACTTTTTCTTACTAATGATCAATGATGTATTCTGGAAATACAGTAATATTTTACAGGTGAGATGGGAAATGAAGGATTTTAAAGGAAACATTACAAAGGAAAAAAATGCTGTCTTATAATCTGATTATTTGAACAGATGTAGTTTTTAAAACCAGGTCAGAAAACTATACTTATTTATGTGGAGTGGAATATGTTTTGGTACATGTTATTATACATACAAGATTTAAATAAAAAATATATTGTTTAAAATGGGACCATTATGCTGGCAATTATACAGCCCATCCTAGTTTACTGGAAAAAAAAATCTACATTATTTAATGTCTTTCATTATTTAAGTAGTCTTTAATATAGCTAAGATGTTTTAGGAAATCTTGTAAGTTAAAAGAAAAAAAAAAAAAGGAATTGTGTATATAATGAACTTTATTTTTTTCTATTTCAAAAATGGTCTCCAGTCTCTCAGTATTATCATTTGTGCAGTAATTTTCTACAAACTACTGGCTGAAACTAATCGGAAATATCAGTGGTCTCAGGCCAGAAAAAATGGTTTTTTTGGGTGTGAGTGCCTTAATACGATTCACCATTGCTAACCACTTTCTATAGAGGAGAGACCTAACATTCCTCTCGCTCACTATAAAGCAACCCCAGTCTGATATAGAACAACTGAACGTTGGGAAAGTCCAGAAGCCGTCTAAAGCGAGGTGTGTTCTATGAAAAAGAAGGGTTTTTGTAATAGTAGTAGTAGTTGTAGTAGTATTTGTGGGGTTTTCCTTTTTCCAAGCAGGGCATTAATGGACTTACAAGTATTCAATTAAACAAATCAATCCAGCCCAAGTATTAGGCCTCCCACCAGGCTATGAAACTGTTTTTAAATTTGATTTCTATAAATTAAACCACAAAACAGTGATCATGAGATTAGGGGGGAAGGGTTGTTTTAAGCTGCCGGAATTCTTAAAATGGTTTATCATTTGTGTTTCCGTCCCCCTTGGATCAAAATAATTCGTTTGCGAGAGGAAGACCTTTTGTTTGTCTTCTTTACTTGTAACTACTTCTTCTGATGCACACGAATAGCACAGGTTTGTGGAAGTCCCAAGTCTGAGACACAGGGGTTCATTATTGTAGCATCCATTTTGCACTACAGTCAGATCAGCAAGAAGAGTATTTCAGAGGGCGTGTTGTACTTCTTGGCAATCGTGGACAAGCTAATTTTGCCATGTGAGGTGGAAAAAAGTGCTGTTTCCTTACAAAACTAGCAACTTAAAAGGAAAGGCTAATAGACGCACTCGGTAAATAGAAAAAAAAGCACGAGCTGGGATCCTCATAATGTAAAACAGCATAACACTCTACTGACTTCAGTGAAGCTGTGCCAATACGTACTGCCAGCTGAGGCACCTGACCCACATTTTTTCAGTCCTACACACATTAAGGTGCATAGAGGATGATCTGAGGGCATTTACACCGTGCACTGTTTTACATAGAAATGTATATTGTATTCTCATTGCAGACATGGTAGAACTTTTATTATTAAAGTGTACTTTATATTACAAGAGGATATGATTTTATTTTTCTAAGTCATACCCTTTTAGTTCTTCAGCTGTTCAACAGAATTTGGAGCTAGGAAAGGTCAAAAGTTGACGTTGCATTTGAGATCTGATCAAACTGGGTGGTGCTGTGCTCTTCCTGTTTGTGCAGTGCTACCTACAGATGTGGTTTCAGTTCAGAGTTCTTACTGAGCCAGGACAGATCTGTTGTTCTGATGCTGCGTAAGTGCAAAGTTTGCATGCGATCCTGCACAAGCAAGCCCAGCTGAACAGACTACAAAAGAAGGCAGCAGAGCAGGGCCACAGAGTCTTTGGGGCAGAGCAGAGTTAGATAGAGACTCAGGGCATCCCTGCAAGTGAGGCATATCTGCTATAGCTGGCTGTGAGGGGAATAGAAAGAAACCCTGTGCCCTCTTAAGTTTTTGTCCTCTGAGTTGTATAGTGAGTGAAAGCACTGGCCATCACCCCACCATGCCCTCACTTCTCCATGGTGCACCACAGAAAATTGCTCATTGTATGCAGAAGGGAAGTGAAGATAGTTTGTCAGTCCCCAATCTGCCCAGTGGACTTTCCCTGGTTTGGAACTTCTGTAGATCAGGTCAGCTGTAAACTACAGGCTTCTGCCATATCTGTGTCCATTAGTGCTGTTGGAGTTGTATTAGCAAAGATGTGTATAGATGTAAGCTTGTAGTTTTGCTTATGAGGAGCTGTTTTGCTATCCTGATCCAAAACACAGCTGTACTGGTGTAGCTGTGTCCATACCATGAGCTGATGTAGTACACTGGTATTCCTCTATCTCAATGGCTAAGAACAGTCAAAAAGCCTGAGGCTGAATTTTATTCAGACTTTGCATGCTAGTCTGAGCTGCAGAGATTAAACAGAGAAACAATTGGATAGACATTCACTTTTGATTCAGGAAATACAGCCACATGCCTGCAGTGGCTCAGGCCAGAAGCCACAGGGTGTCAGAAGCTCTCTGGTATGTAGCATAGGCTGTACGTCCACTTCCTCTTCCTGGGAAGCAAACACACAGGTCTCTGGGGTTTGCAATTCAAACTTACAGCTGCAGAACTCTGCAAGCTTACTCATCACTTCCTCTTCCTGCTTCCAGGTGCCTCTGGGATTTATAGTCCACAGTCACAGCCAGCAGTAAGTTTTTAGCAGGGCAGGGTGGCTCTGTACTCAGGGGAACAGAAGTTTAACCCCTCACCTGGGCCCCAGACCCCAGTTGGGGTTTGTCTGGGTGGGAAGGCAGTCCCTGCTTCCCCTTCCCTCTAACCCTTCTCTGCTGGAGCAGACAGCACAGCCCCACCCAGGGCTGCAGAGCATGTTGGGATGCTGGGGGACTATGATTTAACTTGAACCAGGAAGGGGTCTGGGACAGAAGATTCATAAACCGATTTGACCCAAATCAGTTAAGTCTGGTTTATCTTAAGCCAGTTTCAGCCACCTTGAAACCAGTTTATGTGCCCTGAACTTCTGTTCTGTTACAGGTTTAAACCAGTTTCTGATGACTTAAACCAGTTTATGTGTAACTGCTGTCCCTAGCCCTAGTGTAGAGACACCTTCAGGATCCAATGCCTTCCCATTCTCCTAGAAAATGCAAGAAGGCCCCAGAGAGAAGGGCTAAGAGGAGATAACCAGAGATTCAGAAATTTTGACAAAACAAGTCACCAGTAACATACATGGTCTGTTAGCAGAAAATATCTTTATCAACACATACTTAGAGCAGGTCTTACCAGAGGACTGGGATCCCAAAGTCCCAAATTCTAAGCCTGTTGACACAGACTTGAACTTTGGTAGGTTCTTTAACTTGCCTGTTTGAATTCCCCATCAAGAACAAGGAACTGTTCATGTGCCTACCTCACAGGGCTGTTGTGAGGATTAATTATGGCATGTGTGTAAAGTGGTTGGAAGGTTTACAACACTAAGTGCTAACAATCAGCATTTCAATGTAAAGAAAATACCATTTGAAAGATACCTGCTTTTAAGACAGTAAATAGTCATAGTATCTGGTGTGATAAGTCATCTTTAATGGTGTCTGAGGCAGCCAGTGAGCTTCTAGACACCTGACTATTATTTACTGGTAAAATTAAAACTTCAGCTAATCAGAACCAGCTTACTCACAAAAGCAAAGGATGTTGATTTATAGATAGGTGGTCTTGGTTTAGTCAAAATACCTGGTGGAGCTTATTTCTAAATTAGTAGCAGTTCAGTGTTCAAATGAGAAGCTGTCGCTGTTACTCATCAAGGGAGAGATACAGTAGTCATTCAGCTTAACAGAAATAAATGCTCTGAAGGTCAGAGGGAAGGTTTCAGGGCCAGTGTTCCCTGCTTTGGATAAAGAGGGCCTTGACTCTGCAGGATAATGGACAATCTCAAGTTCTATTCCATTGATACTGTCTAATGCAAAACCATGCTAAGCAGGGCCAAGAGACTTGTCCCCTGCTTAGCATTGTATATTAGCAGTTGGATCTTCCTTACCATAACATCACTAGAACTCATGCTAGTGCTGCCTTCCTGTTTAAAATAGAGATGCAAACAGAAAGTGCTAGTGGCCTGACTACGAGCCTAGGACCAGAATTCTTGAGAACTGAATCTCACTGACTCTTGCTCTCTATAACCTCAAGCAAATCATTTATCCTCCCCTACCCTGGTTCCTTACCTATAAAATAGGAATGAGAGTACCACTTTACATCCTAAGGGAGTTTGGAGGATTCAGTAGTTAATGTTTATGAACTAATTTGAAGACTGACAGTGCCACAAGTGGCATTATTATTGTTCTCCAACTCATCTGAAAAATGACCGTCGGCATACAAAGGGGACAAGCAACATACTGGGCATGTCTACATTTGCATTTATGCTGGCTTAAATGTACTGCACAGTAAGTTACTCTGCATGATGCAGGTATCAAATTTACACTGAAGTCAGTGTAAGTTGCCATATTTACTGCACAGTAGAGGCATGCACATGTAGATGCACACCCATACGGTGCACTAATTTTGGTTTCTGCACAGTAAATGTGCATGTGTAGATGTGCCCACTGAGTCACAAACAAAAAAAAAAGGAAAAGAAAATCAATTTTTAAGTCCCATAAATATAGAACTGGCAGCAACAAGCTTGAGAAAGGAAATGTGCTTTGGCTGGCTATCTGAAGCAGGCTTCTTCCATCTTCAATCAGGATTCTTCTTCCATCGTAGTATGACAACAGTGTGATGCTACTTATTTCAGGGGCTTCCAGATTCATACCAGTATAAGTGAGAGGGGAATCAGGACCTATATTATATGCTGGTTGTGTCCAAAAAGCTGAAGAAAACCTACCCTTGACTTGGCCATTTGGATAGAGCACTAAAGCACCTGGCTCTTCACCCCACTTCTATGTTTACACTGATATGATGCCACTAAAATAAAAGCTGGTTTCAGAGGGTGCTGTACTCTGCTCCCTTTTAAGCAGAGGAGGTATGGGCTTTGTGTTCTGGCAGTGACCAGTACAGTCACTGGTTGAACCAAGTTTAAGAGTCCCTAGCATGGAAGATCAGCCATTCAGTCTCAAGTATGCTTGCTTACTCTTCTATTGCTACATTTCAAGATTATTTTGCACCTAAGAACAGTTACCTTTTCAGGGGGGGTGCCGAAATGATACAAACTGTACTGTATATTTTTGCATGCAACAAAACTTCTCATGTTTTAGGGAAAAAAAGTCCAGAGATGATATTTTTATAGAAAATTTTTAGAACTGGCATTATCAAACGTTTTGTAAAAATTCTGTACATAATCTGTGAGGTTTTTTCCCTAAGTAACTCTGGGATTCTTATTAGTTGTACCAATAATGCTACCTTTTCCTTGATGTTTTGTATTTTGAATTGAGCATGTGTCTCCTACCTTGGGATGGAAAGTCTTAATATACTTTGATCTTCAACTTTGTGTTGCTGTAATGTCTAATCCACATGCGTCCATTTTGGGTTTACTGTTAATTCAGTGTATTTGCTCAATTTTATTTAAACTCTGTAGAGCCATTCAGGAATGACTATATACATAGAAGGATGGATCCTCTACTATGAGATGTTCTTCCAGGGCTGAAGGGGGGTCAGGGAGGGATGGGCATAGCCCCCAGAAGGAACTGACTTTAGCTCCCAGCCCTTAGTGCCAGGCTGTTAAAACCGCTGGGGCCAGTCCCCAGTAAAACCAGAGCTAACTTTGGCAGCAAAAGACGTTTTCCTGCAAACAAATGTTGGCACTTGGAGCCCTAATCCTTATTGTTTTATGGGGAGGATGTAAGTAGAATTTTCTGTGTCCCCTGCCAGATCTCCTCAAGCCTCTCTTATCATGGAACAAGCACCCCAGGAAACCCAGCAAAGGCCTGCATACCTGAGAAGTGAGAAAGGAAATGGATGGAGAAATGCTACAGCTGAAAGATAATGTGATGTTAGAGCAAATACAGCTTTCTTGGTCTGCCCCATGCTCTCAGGCCTGTGTGTACCACTCCTAGTAGAGTCCCCTCCATGAATGCAGACTGTTGCTCATGATTAAGGTGGGGCTCCCCACCTCTGCATAAGAATTGTCCTTAAGTCATGCCTTGAGTGAGGAGTGAAGCATATTCACAGTAAAAGGCAACATTGCCGGTCCCCCACTCTGGGTTTTTATAGTCTGCGTAAGCATCTACAATTTTCTTGGGCAATACCCCTTGGCTTTTGCATTTTCCTCTCTCCTAGAGGGCTTCACAAGTTTAATTACAGCATTTAGGGGTTGAGATGATCCAGTGAAAGACCCTGTTGACAAGGTAATTACTCAGATCCTGAGCACATGCCTCTGGGTTAGCTTCTGCAAGCTCTCAGGAAAGGAGAGGGGACAGTATGAGATGATGGGTTCTCTCATTTCCCCCAGGCCTCTGCTTAGGCTCCAGCAGTTTACACTCCCCTTTGTTTATGGGAGTAAAGAGAAATACTGTGCAGGAGGAGGTACAGCTCTCAGTGTAGCTACATACGCAGTTCCTTTTAAAAGTGGAGGATAA